TCAAATGAAAACTTCCTTCTTTTTGAAGCCGGTTGAAAACGTTGATAGCTGATTAGTCATTTCCGTGAAAACAACATAAATCACTGTTGAAAATAATTGTTTTAAGTTTCATTGTTTATAAGTTAGGCAATGATATTATAATAAAATATTTGAGACTAGTCTCCAATGTAAGTACAGATATTTCGGCTGTTAAATTATTTTTAAAACTAGTTGTTGTCCGCTACTTTGTAAGCATGGATTTAGGTAGTTTTTACGTGATACCTGAACAAACATGCAGACAGACAGATAAAATTTCTAAAACTTATAGTTTTGGCTTTTATTAGTCTTACTTACACTCTTTATATTAAAACCTGTTAAATATCTCCCTTGTAGATATCGTCTAGTTACAATTTTTTTATATTAGTAAGATGTATTTTTGAACGAAGCATTTCGTGTTCCATTATTTTGGCGTGACATATATGTATGCACCTATGTTTTTGAGATAAAACTGCAATAAATTTGACATACATTCGTTATTAAGTAAATGAAAGTATCACTAATCGTATGAATTATATTAAACATTTTGTTTACTTAGCAACGCATTAATAAATTAAATACGATGCCGCTTTTTATATAAACAATACAATATTGCACTATTCATCGTTCTGGTTATTGTTACAAAATACTAATGCAATTGTAGCAATTAAATGTTTATATCCTCCTAATATTACAGAAGTGTCGCCTTTCATTATGACGATTATGATAACTATGAACTGTCGCTCGGTTAGTAACAGATCTGCTAGCTATTCAAAAATTTGGCTAAGCTATTGCTAGGCACTTGTATAGGTAGAAGCCTACACAATGTATTCAGTGTGTATATAATGTATACAGGGTAATATCGAAATTAGTAGCTTACTATTAAGGGAGAGTTCAGTCAGTGAAAGTGAACATTTTTCTCAAACAAATTGGATCGAAAAATAAAAATTAAAAAAAATAAGTTTACCATTCTAACATGACGCCTGGACACGCCATATTCGTTTGAAGATTTTCTGTACTCTTTCTAGCCAAATTTTGTTAGGGTAGAATTTTCAGTATTCCTAATACATAGAAAATGTTAATGCAACTCAAATAGACAACGATTCTAGTAAACTAGTTGTAAGGAAAGAGTTACTTTAATTAATATATCTACTGTATATGTGATTATATAAAAAAAAAACATAAAATGATTTAATTTACTACACATAATATGAAAGTTTTTTTTTTGTTTTCGTTCATTTTTGTTCATATTTTTTCTTTGTTAACTCCTATTTTTGTTGCTTTGTGTACAGCGCCTTGTATCTATATTGTTACTACTTGTGAAAACCTATTAGTGGCTTATATTGTGATCCTAAACTGTATCATTTTACTCTAGTGTAGCCCTGGTTTTCCTATGAATAAATAAATAAATACAAAATATAAATTATCATCTATGGTATGGTATATATAAGATATAAAAATATACAATAGTCGAGGAAGAATGATATATACAGTAGTTATGTGAGAACACGGGACATTTGTATACAGATTAGTCATTTAGCGGGCTATTCATAAAGTTTTATTTTAATAGAACATTGAAAATGAACAGGAAATAAAGTGCAAGTATGCCAATTCATTTATCAGTTTATTACTTTTATCTCATATCTAGTTTAATAGCGGAGCTTGGATGTTTGCATCTGAACTTCATTACTGACTATATCTCGACAATACAATAAATTCTACTTTGATGTTAGTTAAATAAAAATGTATTTACACTACAAGTATGATTTGATATGCTATATATATAAGCAGAGGAAGACTGTACAAAAGTCGTTTGCTTTGCCATCTCTGTCCCGTTCGTGTTTCTACCGTAAAGCAATTGTATTTGCATGACTATGTTTTGGTTTGAAGGGTGGGATATGGCAGTGAATTTACAGGGTATAGAGGAATAACACCAAAGCCCTCATGAATGGCAACGCATGGGAGGTACCATGCACGAAACAGTATACTCTTTTATGTCCATGGTACTGGTAATGTCTATAGAAGATGGTTTCCACTTTCCATCAAATGGGCCGTTAGCTTGTTTGCCATTCTAAGTTGCATGAAAAAAATATTCTATCTATCAATTTCTTAGTAGGTATTGCCCACGAGTGGGATTAACATAGTATCATTTTTTAATCGTTTATATAAGTTTAATTTATAAAGTTTTCTGACTTAATAACCTAATTATTGCTTAATGGCGGTCATAATTAGAATTGAACCAATTAAAATAAAGAAAACTTACTTCTATAACTATTTTTTATAACATAGCATCGTTCTTATTTTAATACAGTCCTTTGTAACTTAAATATTTAGATAATGGTAGCTTTTTACACGTTCTGTACTTTCGTTAATAATATAAAGATATAAAGATAAAGATATCTTTAGGTTTCTTACACTATTAGAAAGAGGATTGTTTGCTTATTTATAATAGCCTAAATAAGAAAAAGAGTGCAACTTGACTTATACTCTTTCTCAGAATAAAGCTAATAGTTGTAAGTGATAGCTTCAGAGACTTTTGACTTATCTTACTTCCTAAAAAAATCCTTGGTAAATATAAATGAAATCACATTTTTTTTTATTAGCCAAGTATTTTTTTTTTATATAAACGTATTCATGTCTGATACGAGTATTTTGAAAACAGATTCATGTAGAGTTGGTAAAAGAAGACAGGTAGTTTCTTGTGAGGCATTTGTTACTAATTTTACTTATTTCTGCCATTAGCACTTTCATATTATCACATTGTTATATTTTGGTCTAAAGACACTCTACATGATTTATATAAAATGCTTGTCACTATTACATAAAAGTTATTTGTACATGTATATGTAACGAGTTAGTACCGAGTGTGGTGCGTTCCTTTATCAAATGATCATTACTCATATCAAGATGTAATAACCTATACTGTTCTAAAAAGTACGGAAATCATTGCAATCTTCATCGAGTTGGAATGAACGAAATATTTAAAATTAAGTTGAATTTGAATTGAAATTCATAGTAAGATTAGAGCAAGTAGGATTGCGTACAGTAAAAATATATAAAGTTCTGGGATTTCTTATAATCTATGGTGTATGTATTATTTATAGGATATATATATTGTATATTAACGACCCGCCTTAAATTTGCACGGATGCAGTTAAGTCTGCTGTACAAACAAATTTCCGTTAAAAATATCTAAATGGCAGTAAAACTCATATTTAAATCTATATTATACTTTACAGAGAGATGCGGACATTCTTATACTATTATATTTCTTGTTTTTTTTTTGTTATGAATAATATAGAGTTGTAACTGTCTGTCTTAAAGTCGAGGTGCCGGTAGGAGATGATTGGTGAGTATGAAGTCTAGTTAGTGGACCTGTCGTGATCAGTACGTCAGGAAAAGGATACGGCCCTGCCGGGAAAACACTATCGTTTTCCAGTAAGGAGGGCGACGTGATATTGCTAGCAATGGAATCGCTGCTCCCCATTATTATGTATATACCCTATCAGATCGTGTTATCGTGGTCCCCTTGGAAACTATCAAACCATTGATGGGCTATTATTCTTTGATTTTTACCTATCATCCGTCATTGGTGCTTCGTCAAGGAATACCGTTAACGTAGGCGGGGTTACCATTCCATTATCATTCATTAAAAAAAAAACTCCCCATTACTGACAATTCTCTTCCACCAACTATTTAAAATTAGCAAGTGGACCCTTAATTAATTTATACTATACTCAATAGAGCAATCTCTAAATATGATAGGAAAGTGTTTATTAGAAATTTGGAATTAACAACCCTAGCTATCAGATCGATCTCTACGCAGTTCCCCTGAAAATCGTCTTGGTTAAATGTCTTAGAATACATCTCGGCGGAATTTTTTTTATCCACTAAAAGATGTATGAATACTATAATGCAGTAAATATATAATGAAGTAAAAGAGATATTTAGTGAGCTGAGATCTCTGTCTATAATAAGGGTAAAGACGTGCGTTTATAATAAATATGCGCACTATTATTTAATTGTAAGAAAACAATTACAATGTGAAAAGTTATTCGTATTTCAAAATTACTGTATTGCCGGTTATTTAGTTAACTAATAAATAGTACAAAACAAAGTCTCCGGCCGCATGTGTTTATTTGTTACTTATTTTAAACCACGAAATGGTATTAATGGTATTTATTATGGTAATAAAAGGAGGAAAAAGTTGACTGTTTATAATGGATAAAGTAAAAAACGTGATTGAGTAACAAACATACAAACATATTTACAAACTTTCACTTTTATAATATTAGTAGAAATATATAATTTAAAACATCTAATTTCTAATATATTATTTATGACCTGGTAATCTTGATACCTACTCAATATATCAGATCTACAATTTCAGATACTGTGGAAATCCAAATTTGTTGTACGGATGCGGTTAAACATAATACCTATAATAATACCTACATAATATCTATCTGTGATATTATCACAATTTGTATATTTACTATAATATAGTATATGTTCATATAAAAAATATAATAATGAATAATTTACCAATAATAACAATAGAAATAAAAAATTGCTTTGATTTAGGATATCAAAAATACTACCAAAAATTTTTTTTGGTATTTATTGAGAATAGTACAAAGTAGTAATACTTAAAGAAAAATTAAAAATACGAGTACGAGAGGTTTTTTGGAGTCGGCTATATAAATATCTACTAAGTCCAAAATTATCGTGAAACTTTATAGGTAGATAGATAGTAGTCAGCTCTACCTATTATTTCTATATTTATTATTGTAAACATATAAAATTTTATCTAGGTTTCCATTATCACAATAAATATAATAGTTGTTTCAAATAAACTAGCTGCAACTAGAAAACACGTGGGTGCATAGCTTTACAGCACGATCGCAACACCCGCTTAGTTACCGTACGTCACGCAATTATCCCTGTTAATAAAATATAAAATAAAAAAATAAAATAAAACGTACCCTTTAGGAGCAGCAGGAGGCTCGACACATTCTGTCTCATTTGCGTCAGGCTGCTGTGCCATGGGTTCAGAAGAAAGCAGCAAAGTCAACGTTGGCGACGGTGGCATGTAGGACTGCGCCGGCGGCGGCATATACTGCGGAGGCTGGGGCTCCTGGTAGTATTCGAAGTATTGATAAGGATCATAAATCAGCCAATCGTGATCCATCAGCGGCCAATCATTCATGGTAAGATTGCTAGCAATTAGTAATGCGCAGCGGATATGTTGCACGCGTGCACCGGCGAACGCACCGCGCGCGCACTGACGCGCCCTAGCCCTGCTTTTCCGCGCCAGCCATTCAACGCATAAACAAACTGCAAATCCTTTATCTGTCGATGCGGTGCATATAGGCAAATAGCTGGGAACTGATAAAAGCCAGGCAGGATAACAGCTTGGCCGCACTTTCAGAAGCTGAATTTGTTTTAACATATATTCCCCCTTTATAAATCTTAATATTTTTAATGAGCGTCTTTATTTTAACAATTAGCAACTAATTTAAATTTATACATCTACACTCGTATATCATATAAATAATTATTAAAATATAAAAAAAAATATATGAGGATTTTATGAAATAAAATAATAGTATATTAGGAATGAAATAAAACAGATTTATATTTTAAACATAAATTAGACATTTTTTACGTTAAATAAGAAAATTACCTAAAAACCGGTACTCAGTAACTAAGACCAAATTGTAAATATAAGAACAAGCTTAAAAAATCCCTTATTATTATTAGGTATAGTAATTATCTCAAAATTGCGGCAAACGTTATAAAAAGTTCTAAAACAAGAAAAATCAAGAGGGGAAGATAGACTTTTTTTTTATTATATAATTAACAAATAGTAGAATAAATATTTACGTATTATAAAATACTCAATGTTATTTGTTTTATTTAGTTATTTGGAACTTAATAAAATATATTATATGCCCGTGTGGTCCCGGCATAGAATAGGCCACCCCTTCTTTTCCCGTGGGTGAAGTAATAATCGACTAAGGGAAAGCGAGGGATGGGCAGCAGCGTCCCTTTTAAAACATCTCTAAAGCCTGACAGCGGTTGCCAATCCGCCTGTTAATAATGGCAGATTTGCTAAAAAATATTTGCATACTAAAAAAATACACTCGTGGGGAATCTAACTCCCCTAGCGTCTTGTGTCTCTTTAAACTATTTACAATATCCTGATCTAGTTCTACTTTTCGCGAGCTTTTTGCCAGCTTTGGGAATATATGAGAGTTCGTCAGCCTTTAGTTTCAATTACTAAAAAATATACCTAAAAATATATGCAGTATTCTCACTAGTGGGAGTAAGGTCCCTCTTATTCCCACACAAGTATTGTTAAGGGTTAATTTAAAAAAAAAAATAGATAATAAGTCTTTGCGTTTTAAATATATTACGGGTTAAAATGTATGCCTATCCGAATTGAATTTTATTTATACCCATAATAATAAGCACTAGAGTGAACACCAAAAGTGCTACCCTTAAGGTGTATTCAATTTTAAGGTCAGTTATAAAATATGTTAAATAGTTATATAGTTTAGATAGTTTGATTAAATTAAATTATTTTAATCGTAAATATCTTTCAAAATGTAGTATTATCCCTTGTAGTATCCCTTATACAACAGTATATTATGTTACTTCTCAGACTATATAGATAGAGCCTCTAAAGCTGGTTAACTTTTTGTTAGCTAATTGTCAAATTAGCTGACTGGTTTTTTTAACAGTACTTTATATACTTACGCATAAAATGTATTTTGACATATTAATTAATGAATAAAATGAGTGCTTACGTATTAAAAATATGCAGAAATTATAAAATACTAAATAAATATAGAAGTTATAAAGGAATCACTTATAACTATTTATCACGTAAAATTGTATGAAAAAATTGACCCGTTTTTCTCGAAGCATTTCTATTGAGACACTTTATCTATATAATCTGTTATTTATACTTTTATGAAATAACACCCATTTCTCCTAAGTTTAGCCGTTTTGCATCTAATGGCATCCTCTTTTATACCTAAGGTCAACTGTTCATTTTGTTCATGAAAAAGATATAATAAAATAACACACAGATTTACTTATTCTTTATAGAGGGGAAGAAGAGAACTGTTAATAATAGATTTTAATGTCTCCATTGTTAGTAATCTACCCTGTTGACTACCACACAGATTCCCCAGAAATGTGATAGAAACCCCCTAAAAAAACTAGTGAATTCAACAGGATGAGTCAACTAATCTTCACTATATCCTTATTTTATATCATTACTTACTGGTATCCAGCTAGCTTTTATCAAGACTCCAGAGGTGAAGTTGCCATTCTATAATATTTTTATCCTTTCATCATCATTATTATCCTTTCAGGTATTATCCGTCCACTGCTAGACATAGGCCTCCTCCATAGACTGTCATAAAGAACAGTCCTGAACCACCTGCATCCACTGTTCCACTGCAATGCATTTGAGGTGGTCATAAAGAACAGTCCTGAACCACTTGCATCCACTGTTCCACTGCAATGCATTTGAGGTCATCACTCCGTCTAATGGGGGGTCGTCCTACACTGCGTTTGCAGGGTCGCCATACAAGAATCTTTCTTCCCCATCGGTTGTCGGTTCTTCAAGCTATGGACTAGCCCATTGCCACTTTAGCTTTCTTATCCTTCGGGCTATGTCAGTTACTTTGGTTGTTTTGCGGATATCCTCGTTTCGAATTATATCACGAAAAGAGCCCATCGCCCGCTGAGTAATTAGAAGCTTTTGTATAGCAATCGTGTAGGATCATGTATCGGTTCTATAAGTCATCACGTGCGTGTTACCACACTGGTTAAAGATCTTCGTCTTCACACTCTGCGGTATTTTGGATGAAAAGATATGGCGTATTTGCCGAACGCTGCCTAGCCGAGTTAAATTCGTCAGTTGACCTCTCGGCCGAAGTAAGACTTACCTATTCGGACAACTCGTCCCAGGTATACATACTCGTCGACAAATTCGAGCATAGTGGTCTCAATTGTAAGCGGTATAGGTGTGACATGGACGTTAGGCATAATTTTAGTCTTGTCCATGATCATCGTAAGACCTATCTATTGAGAAATACTGTTGCGGTTATTGAGCATAGTATTCAGATCTTTCAGGGATTCCGCCATGATTACTGTCATCAGTAAAATTGAAGGTAAGTGATATATTCACCATTGATGTTTATAGCACATATTTTCCCTTGCAAGTGTTTGAAAACACCTTGACGTAATAAATGAAACAAAATTTTTCGGACTAATGATAAATAAAAAAAATTTAATGGAAAACACAAATAGAAAAAGTATGTAATAAAATTAATAGGTTTATATATTCAATGGAACGACTGAAAAACGTAAGCGCTTACAGCATATCATGCATATGTAGAATCCGCTGGGGGAATGATAATATGGGGTAATATCGATAGAGCACTTATTGCTAAAAAAAAGTACATTAGGGCATTATACACTTTACCACCATACGCATCGTACCGAACACGTTTCAAAGAGCTTAGCCTATTAACACTTCCATCGCTTTAAATATATGTGTTTTTGTCAAGCAAAATATACATTTATTTAAAAAGGCTTGTGATGTGTAGCCTAGAAATACTAGAAATCCTGATAGATTAGTGCTTTCACAAACACCTTTTCACAGACACAGTATATAAAAAAACTGTCAAAGTATGTGCATTAAAATTTATATTAAAATTTCAAATACTTTGAAAATGTAGAATATTCAAATATTTCAAAAGAAAATTATATGAATTATTAGCAAAGAAGAGTTTTATAATGTTAAAGAATTCCTAAAGTAGTAATTGACTGCAGAGTACTCAATTATATTTATTTATTATTTTATTTTGTAATTAAATTATTATCATTAAATAATATCGATTGTTTACTGACATTATTGTACTTACATTTTGCATGCCATTGTTTTGGCAAAACACACATGTTCGTAACATATTATAAAAACATCTGTATACTGTGTTTTAGAGCAAATAAATTATTATTATTAATAATACATAAATTGAATATTTTTTTATATTGGAGCAGATTCTGACATACCATTCCCTGAAATATATTTTAGTAATTTTTTAAATTTAGAGATATATTTAAAGAATGATATTTTGGAGTACAATTTATTTGTTTATTTAACTGTTACTTAACTTGTAATGTTTATTAGTTTGTTTAGATAAAATCTTGTAACTTTAATTAGAACCAGCACCTCTAAAGTGATTTGGCTGAAATTTTGCACATTCCTGTTTTTAGTTCTGATAATGTTATAATGTGCAATACTCAATATTATAATTTAATCAAAATGACTTTTGTTTTTTGTCAACCCTTCGAAAATATCGTATAACAAAATAGTATGGTTTATATTGTATTTAATACAAACCGCGTCAACATGACGAGGCATATTGCTATCAATAGGGACTAGATCTTTTATTTTCTAATAACAATTTCTTTTACCTACAATGAATTTTTTGGATACCTTGTCGTAATGAATTAATTTACATGACTCCACTAGAGAAGATTTATTAATAATAGTTACCATTTCTAAAAATATATCACAGCAAGTCGACCTCCATTTTCTTTTTCGACCAGTTCGATAAAAATATTAAAGTCGCTCGATTAAAATGTTTAGGTACAGTTGAAGTTAGAAATAATTATTATAATATGTAAAAAACTTTCATAAGATAGCGTCTGAATTTAACGTCATGGTGTCTAGACCTCGGGTAAATTTAAATTTTGGTTACATTATTATACTTAATTTATTAATTTATTCCTATTTATCTGTATATTAATATATTTTGTAAGAGATGAATTCAATATAATAAATACGCAACAATTGGTAAATATATTTGAAAATATAAAAAACACTTACTTTAAATAAGTTAATAATCGTGATTGTCGGAACTTGGTGAAACTTTGTATACATATTGATATTATTAAAAACAAACACTTGTACGCAAAAAAAAAGATATTATAATAAATAGTAGGCTAGTTTCGTCATTTAAAGCATTTTTGAAGGTGATTTACATGATTTTTTATTCGTGGAATCAATTGAGGGATAGGCTGGAAATTAATAGAAACAAGTGGATAGGTGAATTTAGTAAAAAAAAAAAAAAAACTAAAATATCAGGTAATTTAAAAAAATATAATGTTGCCAACATAGATTATTTGTTTTGTTTAGCAGAATAATGTTTTATTTTATCCTATCTCAATAATTACTATT